AGTCGACTGAAAACAAGGATCCAGTCGCATTACTGAAGAATGATAATGATGTTGAAGTCGTTGAGAACGGCAAGAAAGCCGAACGGTTGGGATGCTTATTTGCCTTGTTATTCACTAGGGAAAAGAAGTTTCGGAATCACAATCTTAACAATGCTGTTGCGACCGCCGGTTCCGTGCATGAATCCATAATCTCCCGGCATCCGACGTGGCAATAGAGCTGCAGAATCTCCAAGAAGCAAAGTTGTCGGGTTCCGACAATATGCCGGCCAGATTTTTGAAATAATTGGCATATAAACTCTCCAAACCACTTGTACAGACCTTCCACTCGTCACTTGAATTAGGGAGTTTTCATTCGAATGGAGGGTATCAAATGTTCACCCGATATACAACAGTCGGGTTCGAACTAAGGCTAACAATAGTCGGCCCATCAGCGTCACTTGCACTAGCTGTAAAATAATGGGGACCATACCTAAGAAAGCGACAGTGAAGTTCCTGGAGGAGAACCACTTACTCTCGGAGCTCCAGCACGACTTCAGGAAGAACCGCTCATGCCTTTCCAGTTAATTGCTTTTGACCGAGCAGTTGACTCGCACACTGGACAAGGATGTTAGGGTCGATGTAATCTACGAGGATTACACGAAGGCGTTTGACAGCGTCCCACACAAAGGCCTAATCTAAAGACCGTCTGAAACTGGAATAAGAGGAAAGCTGTCGGCATGGGTCGCATACTTTCTCACAGGGAGATCACAAACCATGTGTGTTGATCCTTCGAGGTCGGCTCCTACCCCGCTCTAAGGATGTCCCTCGAGACTCAGTCTTAGGGCCGTTGCCATTACTTATTTTGCATTAACGTCGGTATCGAGGACCTGGGATACATACTAGGTTTGCTGACAATGTTAAACTGTGGAAAACCATCAGGTCTGACGCATACAGGCATGCGCTTCAAAAGAGTCTCGACCGACCCAGCAGGTGATCAGCTCGTTTGCTCCTCAATTTTGATGTGGACAAATGTGTGACGCTGAGACTTCGTACCAGGAGGACCAGTAAGGAGGATGCTTCCTTTCTTAACCTTCTTGATGAGCAACCCCTTTTAGACGCAGAAGAACAGAAGGACCTCGACGTTCTAATGATCTCCTTGCTGAAACCATCGACGCAATATCTAAGGACGGCCAGACGCGCGACAGGACCTTATTTTCGCTCGGGCGAGGATTTGTGCAGATCGACAAAGAGCTGTTTGGAAGAGCCTACGGGACATTCGTTCGGTCTCATTTAGAGTATGCAGTACAAACCAGACGACCGTGGTTTAAGAAGGATTATCAACTGCTGGAAAGAGTACAGGCAACGGCTACGAAGATAGTCAAGAATGTTGATCATCTGCCTTGCGGAACCAGGCTGGCTGAACTAAATTTGTTTCCTCTGAATTACAGCGATCTCGTTCAAACCTACCTGATTGTCAGGGGCCGGCAGTGTGCACTAGACTTTGATGAGTTCTTCGAGTGGGTTGGGACGAGCCATCGGCGTGGTCATCTATTTAAACTGCAGATGAGGCTGGCCCATACAGATGTGCGACAGAAGGGACTCCCTAATGATGTGGTTCTTTCTGAAACTGCCGAAACCTCTAAGTGCAGACTAGACACGCAATTTCTGAGAAGCTACTGTACATATAAGCAAGATTCTGTTAACGGCGGCAGTTTGTACCTGGCTCACGCTTACAGTTAGCTTTTGAATTTCCAGATTTACTTATGTAACAATTGATTCTGGTGCTATTTATCAATATGAATAGGGAGCTCAAGGGCGAAAGCCTCATTCCATTACTAGGACAACTTAAACTGACCCATGACATAAATAAATTATTTTTATAAAAGATCTGTCGGGGTCCCATCAAAGCAAGTAAAAATAAATTTACACAGAATTTTAGACGAGGTAGGCAGAACCTGTATAAAATGCCATTCATACTTTCTGAATTTGTAGTCCGTTAAGAAAAATGATGAGAGGGCAGTGAAAAAAACTCCACTTAAGAATTTAAAAATGAGTGGATTAATTTTACAGACGAAAAACCTTCGTTCATAATAACACAAAAATGCGGACAGGAATGACCTCTGCCTGTGGCGGTATATAATGGATTATAATCGGACATCGCCAGTGCATAAATAAATGTCAGCCTTGGGAGTACGCATGCGGGTCGGGCAGAACTGGTCTGCATGTGGTATTGTATACGGGATTCAGAACGGACATCGTCAGGGCAGAATTCATACACCAGATGAGGATATTCGCATCAAAGAGGCCAGACGAGAGGAATCCAGGCGCGATCGGCCACAGTCCGCTTCGAGCCCAGCCGAGGAGTGGAAAGGGAGGTACGCTCAAACAACTAGTAGACGGCGAATACACAGGGTTCCCCCGTGAGCGTCGACAGACCGCTTGGGATCGAAATGCGGGAGATGACATCACGAACCGCGAAAATCGTCGCTGTGTGGAAGGAGTGATAACAGTGGACTTAGTAAACAATGCAAAACAGGAGGCTAGGAATATAAAAATGAAGGTTTCCACTCGATCTACCATTAAATCCTAGGAGGACCCTTTTCAAAGTCAAGAAGCTGAGTGTTCGGGAATGAGATCGTTAGAAGTGCCTTCATGCTTTCCGCTGTACGGTGTAAGTGTAATTTCGACTTGAATACCGATAACTTAGGCGGTGACCTAATTTATAGTTGAAAGACTATTCCAAAGGAGAGCATATTTGAAAGCAAAGAAGAGGGAGCACTTAGATGTAATACAAAGAGGCGGCGGTGGAATCACCATCGAGGAGCTGCGCGTGACATAAGACCGATATCTCGGAGTGAAAGTGTCCATGAGCGGAAGATTGGAGTTAGAGTTAATGCGAAAAAGGACGCAAAGGTCAGCTTCGAGTCTTCTAACCCACAAAACTTAATGTTCGCCAGCTGACATCTCTGAGTATAAGAAATACTGGACGAAGCTTCAGAGAACAGTTTCCGGGTGAAAACCCTCTGAACATTTTCGATCTTATGGTGGTCACAGGCGTTCATTAAACCGAAGAAAGGACAGCAGTATTCGAGGACTGGAAGAACAAACATTTGATAAAGTCTTAGCTTCATTTCCGGAAGGAAAAAATTATGAGATATGAATCCACATATCTGCGCGGTTTCGGTAGATATTCTATCTACATTAGATGATAAAGCAAGTTTATTTGTATAACTTAAACCTAGGTCCTTTATAGTGAGGCATTCTGAGAGTAGGTTATTCTGAAAAATTATGGGACCAGGAAGTTTGGCAGGACCAAAAGACATGAAACTACACTTGGATGATGAAAACTCCATCTGCCATGTCGAACCCCATCTGCTTAAGCGTAGTAAATCGGCATTACTTTGTTCAACACAAAAGTTTGCGGTGTCCTTAGAGTAGGAGTAAACACACTTGAGGTCATCGGTAATAATGGAAAAAGCAATACGTACTCCATAACTGAATACAGTGTTAGGTCTCCTGCTATCTGATCACCTCCAGCCAAACGGACGTAGAGTATGATAACTCTAATGGATGTCAACTGCGAAGACGAGACCTGCTCGGCACGTTCCATGCAGACGGCTTATATTTAAACCACGTCAAATGAGCGTGAATGGATGACTGCGGAAACGGTTAGCCGACTTTCTTGCGGGCAGATCTGAGCGTGCGTATATAGGAAACGCTGAATCGGAGTGGGCAACCGTCCACAGTGGCGTTCCGCAAGGGAGCATTTTTGGTCCAGTTTTGTTCTTAATATATGTGAATGACTAGCTTAACTGTCTGAACCGCAAGTGCGTAATGTTTGCCGATGATCTCAAATTGCAGAAATCAATAGAGAAGCCGGAAGACGCGCTACAGTTACCAGGCAGTCTGAATCGTTTGCAACAGTGGTGTGGTGAGTGGTGTCTTAACCTAAACCTTAACAAATGCAACTTATACGATTAGGATCTAGCAACAGGAGGCCGTTGAAATTTGAATATCACTACGTTGAAGGAGGTCACCAACTCGAATCAGTCAATGAGTCAAAAGACCTCGGTGTGTGGATGACGTCAACTCACATAACATCGCCTCACTGCGCCAAGCTATCAAAGAAGACCATGGGTATCCTAGGTGCGACTAGGCGATCCTTCCTCAATTTTGACGAAGAGCTTTTCGGTCGAGTATTTGGAACTTTTGTTTGACCACTGTTGGAGTTTTGCGTTCAGGCGTGCTACCCCTGGACGGAACAAGATTACACCCTGTTGGAGGACGTACAGCGAAGGGCAACCAAGCTGGTTTGCGGAATATGTTGCTAACTTGGTGAATGACGTCTGAAAAAGCTAAAAATATGTCCACTCTCTTAGAGATAATAGAGGGGAGATATGATCATGGCCTTTAGAATCGTCAGAGAGCTACACTGCGCTCTTCAGTTTGACGATTTCTTCGAGCAGACGCGGACGACCAATCTTCGAGTGCACAAATGCAAGTTGAAGACAACGTATACCATGCTTGAGGTGCAGGCCAAATTCTTCTCCCTGCCGGCTGGCTAAAGAATGGAATGATTTTTTAATAATAATATTAAATAATAGTGTATTTTAGGGTAATGGGCAATGCCCTTGATGACCCTATTGAAAACTGTACATAAAATATTGATGTCAAATGTACACCTTACTAAAAATGTTGTCAGTAACATATTTGTTCACGGAAATCTTTTTCACAATGCGGGACTGCGAAGGGTGCGGCAGGCGGTCTTCTCAGTGTACATATGAAATTTTAAGTGCAGTTATATACAATCAGCGTAAAGTGCAGTCATTTGCATAGTTTAAGAGGAGACGTTTCATTAAAAGTCAGGGATGTGTTAAGTAGGGATGAAATCAAGAAATGAAATTTATGGCTGGCCACAAATAGTCCCGTTGTGAAAGTCGTCGTTTATCAAAGATCAGACGATCCGCCTGCCTTTTTAAGTAGGGATGAAATCGAGGAATGAAATTTATGGCTGGCCGCAGCTAGTCCTGTTGTGAAAGTAGTCGTTTATCAAAGATCAGACGATCTACCTGCCTTTTGAATACAGCGATTATATCAGACGTCACGACTTCACTTGGGAGTGAGTTCCATGGCCGAACAACACGCTGGCTGAAGGAAGACTTCCGATTGTCTAGGCGTGTACGCTCCCGCTTGACTTTGTACGGGTGACCGCGCAGGTGACTCGTGGTCGTGAATTCAGAGAAGTCGTCAGTGTTGGGCGAACATTCATGCCCGTGGATAATGCGGAATGTCCATAACAGGTCACATCTCATTCGTGTATAGGAAAGGGGGAACAAATTTAACTGGATCAGTCTTTCTGGGTATGACAGAGTCCTGAGACCGTCCACCAGTTTTGTGGCCCGTCGTTGCACCTGCTCTATGGCATCACTGTCTTTCTTCATCCAGGGCATCCATGATGGCATTCCGTATTCCAAGTGCGGTCTGACGAACGTGCCGAATATCTGTGAGTAGAGTTCTGGAGGAAAGATTTTGAAGGCACGCCTAATCCAGTGCATGATGCTGGTTGCCATTTGGACGACTCTTTTGCAGTGCTGAGAGGGCAGCAAGTTTGAGCATGTCCAGACAACTAGGTCTTTGTGCGTGTTCACTTCCTTTAGTGGAACCCCATTTATGGTGTACTGATGTTTTGGGAAGCGCCTACGTCCACATTCTAGTCGCAAGACTACACATTCGGATACGTTGAACGCTAGAAGCCACTTGCTGGACCACGCAGCCAGCTTATTAACATCTTCCTGTAGCTTCTGCGCGTCTTCAATGCTGCTGATTGTTTTCCAGATCATTATATCATCTGCAAACATGATGCCATCGCATTCAAGGTCTGCAGGACAGTCATTTATATAGATGAGGAAGAGGAGAGGACCCAAGACGGAGCCCTGCGGAACGCCGCTTTTTACTGGCACCCATTCGGAGGTAGTGGCACCAACGATGACTTTTTGCAGCCTGCATGACAGGAAACTTTTAATCCAATGAAAAATGCTGCCCTGTATTCCACACTCCCAAATCTTCTGTAGGAGTCGTCCATTAGGAACGCTATCAAACGCCTTCTTAAAGTCAAAGAAGATGACGTCCACTGGACGGCCCTGGGCTATGGCTCTTGTCCACTTTTCCTGAGAGTAAAGACTGCTTGTAAGACAGGAGTGACCACGACGAAATCCGTGCTGAGCAGCACATAACAGGCCCCTCTGCTCCAGATACGACATTAAATGCCCTTTAATAAGTCGTTCCATTACCTTGCATAGAATGCAGGTTAAACTAATAGGACGGTAGTTTTCAGGTTCCAGCCTGGATCGTCCTTTATTGATTGGAGAAATATGGGCCGTTTTCCACTCCTCCGGCAGTTCGTCTTCGTCCATAGACTTCCGAAATATCATGGACACCGGCTCACAGAGTACATTAGCTAATTCTCGGAGGACAAGTGGATGAATTCCATCTGGACCAGGTGATTTGGCAAGTTTAAGCCGGCGTAGTTCGGTCCTTATCAACGTGGGTGAGAAGAAAGGATTGTCTTCCAATGCAGGCCAGGAAGGATTTGGTCGTTGGTCTACGTAAGGCATGGCAGGAGGGTTTGTGTCATGAGTGAATACCGACTGAAATAAACTGGAGAAGACTTGTGGCGGCCGAGGACGTCAAGGGTAGCACACACCGGAATAAGGAAACGCCGAGAAGAGATCCTGACGGAGGTAGACCTGAACAGGACTGTTAACATCTCTCGAAACTCGTTCACACGCAGAAGAAGAGAGTACGTCGAGTATGGATATAGTGTAAAGGAATAATTGATATGAAGAATGTATATAACAAGTGTTAATGTACACGAGCAACGAGGAACAGCAAATAGGTGGCCTGTCTGGATGGATAGACGACCCTGCGATACTAGCTAAACAGCCGGTGGGGATGCAGCGGCCTGGCATATTTGGAGGAGATAGTAAAAGATAAGAATTTCACCTCCGCTGTTGTTGTTGGATTTTGCTCAGGGACCGCGGTTAGGTTGTAACTAACATAGACAGCGACCCCTCCTCCTCGGCTTCTCCTGTCTCTTCTGAACAGTTGGTAGCCTCTCAGGGATACCTCATAGTCTCCAATAGCTTCAGAAAGCCATGTTTCTGTCAAGGCGATGATATCTGGCGTGTGCTCGTCGATCAGAGTCCTGAGTTCATCCATCTTGTTAAACAGGCTCTGCACATTCGAATACAGCACCTTTAGTCTCCGTCTTCTCGGGGGGAACTGGCCCTGATTACAAAGGGGGTTAGCCACAGGAACGATCGTTTGATCTGTATTATCTTGCCTTCCTTTGTTTTGAACCCCTTCTCCCCTCTTCTGTCAACCTCCATTGTCAGGGCGGCAAACATTGAGACCTTAAAAAAAGACTTTATAAATTTATGCTTGATGGTCAAACATTTAGTGGATATCAATGACTGGCATATCTGTTATGCAAATATATGCATGCTTTCCATCTGTCTATCAGAAAATACGGCTTTCCAAATCTCTGACTATATCCCTTATATGTATCAGGTTATCTTGAATTATAAACTATTGTTTCGGAATGTAACTCTTAGTACACATGTTAGAGAGGGGTGAAGTCATAATTGCCTTGACATGGTGCTCACTGAAAATGAGGAGAGTGTGCTGGATGTTTAAGATCTCCCTCCAACTTGTGCTAATGATTATATTGTAATGCTCTTCGATTATTCCACGTTCTCCCAACCTGAGTCACCAAAAAGACTGGAAACAAATATCTGGAAGGAGGATTTTCCAGAATGCGAGAGCAAGTCTCAGCAGCAGTGTGGACGACGACTTTGCAGGGGGCAGTTAACGACTGCTGGACCACGTTCAGCTTGTTCGTTAAAGGAATCTTTGATCTGAGCTGTCCACTCGGGCGAAAGAAAACGAACGACCGTACGCCATGGATTAACTGGGAGTGACAAGGCGCTTTTAAGAGAAGAAATAAGGCGTGGAGACGTTTTCAACTAACGCAGTCCCAAACATTTGCAGGACAACAATCATCAGAGAAATGTGTGCAATCATGAGGCTAGTAGGCTTTGAATAATCCATGAGATATGCATATGCGGTTACAGACGTAGTGGCCGAAGAAATTGTATCCCAACTCCGTCGATTAGGTCCGAAAACGGAATAATGTAGAGGGATGACCAAGTGAAAGCTTCAGTCTTCTCCAGCTTCTTTTATTCAGCATCCACTCAGTAAACAAATCCTCTTTCTCTCCTCTGTCCATAACAGCAATAAGGTCCTGTATTATCTGAATTAGAAGATAATCTTTACTTATCACCTACATCGGTAAGGAGAGAACTACGCCGGCTAAAGCCTGCCAAATCACCTGGTTTAGATATAATTCATCCACTTGCCCCTTGTGAATTAACTGGCGTGCTTTGCGAGCCGGTGTCTATAATATTTCAAAAGTCAATGGAAGAATGTGAACTGCTAGAGGAAGGGGAAACTGCCTTTATTCCCCCAATCTACAAAGGAGGGTCCCAGCCCTATTATTTTAAACTGCATTTTCTGCGAGATCACGGAACGACTTAGTAAGCGATATTTTATGACTCATATGAAGCAGAGGCATCTGATATGTGCCCGCGATCACGGATTTCGTCATGGTCACTCATGTCTCTACTCCTAGGAGAAATGAATGCCAGTGACCAGGGCAGTCCAGCTGATGTCATCTTCTACCACTTCATGAAGGCGTTTGATAGTGTGCCACATGGAGTGCTCCTACAGAAGATTTGGAAGTGTGGAATACGGAGCAACACTTGTAAGGGGTTTACCGTTTCCTGTCACTTAAGCTGCAAAGAATAATTGTCGGTAGCATTGCATCTCAGTGGGCGCCAATAGGAATAGAAAAGAATAGAATAGGTTTATTGTAGCGCTCCTTGGGCACTATAAGTCCTCTTTGAACTCAGGAAAAACCCAAAACAAACTCATCAATTTCAACTGCACTTTGACTTCATTTGTTTCGGGTGTCTGTTTAGCCAAAAGAGCGCGAATTGAGAGTTTGTTTTAAGTTAAAAAAACCTCAGTTCTAAGGGAAAATAACAACAAAAGTTTTAAAAAATAACGATATGTACAATATAAAAATTGAAGTTTGCAGTTTGGTAGTTTGGAAGCGGCGTTCCGCAGGGCTCGGCTTTGGTTCTTCTTCTCTTCCTTATCTACATAAACTGCTGTAGTGAAGATCTTGGATGCGCTGCCATCATGTTCGCAGATGATATAAAGATCTGAAAAACAATCAGCTATGTTAACGGCGCGCAGAAATTACAAGATGTTTGTAAGTTGACTGTACGGTCTATCCAATGGCTTATAACATTTATTGTATTCAAATGTGCAGTCTGGCGCCTAGAATCTGATCGGGGGCGTTATCCGGAACGTCAGCACACCATAAATGGGACTCCAGTGAAAGAGGTGGATACGCATAAAGACAAACAAATCCAAACCTGCTGCCCGCCGAGCACACCATAAATGGGACTCCAGTGAAAGAGGTGGATACGCATAAAGACAAACAAATCCAAACCTGCTGCCCGTCAGCACACCATAAATGGGACTCCAGTGAAAGAGGTGGATACGCATAAAGACAAACAAATCCAAACCTGCTGCCCGCCGAGCTGCCCGCCAGTGAAAGAGGTGGATACGCATAAAGACAAACAAATCCAAACCTGCTGCCCGCCGAGCACTGCGAAAGAGCCATCCAAAACGTAATGAACACCATGCACTGCATTAGGCGAACTTGTGTAGTCTTTCCTCTCGAGTTCTTCGTGAAGGTATTCGGTAAGTTTGTAAGGCCGCATTTGGAATATGGAATGCCAGCGTGGATTGCACTGGATGAAGAAATACAGTGATGTCATTGAGCAGGTGCAACGGCAGGCAACCAAATTGGTGGACGGTTTTAGGACTCTGTCATATCCAGAAAGACTGATCCATCTCGATTTGTCCGATGGGATGCGACCTCTTGTGGGCATTCTGAATCATCCGCAGACATGACTGTTCGCTTAAATCCGAAGATTTCTTTTAGTTTACGAAGATGGGTCACATGCGCGGTGTAGCGACCCTACTCCAAACGCACGTCTCAACGCGGGGCCTCTCGCGAGCATCTGCATATGCTCCTCATGGCTGTCTGGTATTGGCTCATTCGGCTTTCCAACCAACCAATCAAATTCGAGACCAAGTTAGACTTAACTTGGCTTAAGACGCTGTGACGCATCTCTCACACACTTGGGACGCTGCCCACCCGGCACCAGACGTGCGCTCGTCCATCGGCCAACTCACTCTAAATCCTTCTCAAATTATTCTATACTGAATATATTATCCTCCCAGATGGCGTCCATGTTCTCTTCCATTAGGCAGCTAATAATAACGTTCCTTTCGATAAAACCCTGCATATTAGTTATGCGAAAGTCTATATTAAGGCCATAGTAAACATATATACAACTATATTAGATCATAGTGGACAGTCAACAACTACTCCTGTAATCTTACATTCACAAGGACAATGTGATACATGATTCAATATTATTTTGACAACTTTGCTTGTGAATTACCATCGAATGTTTCTTAAGCCTGATATATATTCACCTTTTTCAGCTCTTACTCCAGACAACTAACGCAAGCCACCTGAAAAATACGAACAAACTATGCGACCGGACCCATAGCAGCAGACCAGATAGACTGACAACCGGCAACTAGAAGACACCCAAATTTATTCAACTCGAAAATAGTTTCAAGGTCAGGCCGATATCAAAGTTGATCAACTTCCATGAAGGACATATTATTCGTGCTCCAAAAACTACCAAAATCCACAATTCAATTTTTATATTGTATATGTTGTTCTTTTTTAAAACATTTGCGATTGTTTTGCCATGGAACTCGGTTTTTTTACTTTAAAAAAACTCTCAATTTGTGCTCTATTGCCTAAACAGACACCACAAACAAATGAAGTTGAAATGCAGTCGAATGGATGAGTTTGTTTTAGGTATTTTTCCTGAGTTCAAAGAAGAGAGTTCAAAGGCGAGGAGCCCGACTGAGCACAAGGGAATTATTATGCGCTCCAACTGGGCCTATTTCGACTTGGTTACCATTTCACAGTTACCGTCTCCGACATTGATACTGGAACCGTACGTACAGAATTGCTTTGTGCATTTTTGGAATACTTTTTCACCCATCGAAATTCGCCAGGTACCGGGATTAAGTGCAATTTGTC